GAATGATACTTATTTTCAAAAGATGTTTGAAGGTAATATTTGGCCAAACCTAAAAAAGTATCAATGAAATTAAACCTTTATATTATTTCTCGCAACCCCTTGAAGTTGAAAAAACAAACTTAAGAGGGAAAAAAAAAAAACATAAAATCCTTGTGAGACTGGCCCAATCGAATTCAAAACCCTCCGTATAATGAGTGTGGCCCTTAGCCAACATTTCACTCCCTTTGGGGGCTATTTTTAAAATTTTCACCTACTGTATCTTTATTTCTGTACGATGGATAGTTTAGTTTGTAATTTATATTATAATTTGAAGATGAAATCTATATAAGACGTAACATAATTGATAATCGCGGTTGTGAAAGTATCTAGGCACTTGGCCAAAATTCGTTGAATTTTTTAGAAATTCAATCAAAAGACTCGATTAATTCATGAAACTTACTCGAGTTATATATGGCCACTTGAACCCTGGTGACTTGGTGAGTGCCAAGGACCAATAAAGAGAGTTATGCAAATTCATTTCATTTTGTTTCATTTCAAGAGGTATAACGTATAATCAGAGTGGTAGTGATATCTTGAATATCATGTACTTGCCTGATCCCAAAAAAAAAAAACAAAAAAAAAAAGTAAAAATTTTAGTTTGTTCATACAAATAATACACCAACTATTTTACTCCATATAGACTTTGTAACTCTCAACCTTTCACTTTAATTTGTTTTGTTAAGAGAAAATTAAAATAAATAGACAACACATTAATTGGCAGCCTACTCAAGCATTTTCAGAAACTATTAGAACACATTTGTAAATAAAAAGCTTCTTGGAAAATCTTATATTTTTTTAAGAAATATTCATTATTTTCATTTTGAAAATTTATAAATTTGTAAAATGTGAAAATCAGAAATGAAACCAAATATGGTCTCCGAGTCTTATCCTTCCTTCCGTGCAAACAGACTTTCTCTTTAATGAATCGAACCCAAATTTGATACCATGTACCATGGTGTGCACCAGTAGATTGCAACTCCGCGTAAATGGTTGTGCATAATTTATACAAACCTCTCTAATATTTATCATTTAAATTTATTGAATTTACAACATTATTAAATTAAAAATGCAACAATAATAAAAATATATATATATATGTTGCATTCTTGTTATCATAGTATTACAACATTACAATCCAATGTAATATGTTAAAGAGAGTGTTACTGTTTCAAAACAGATATACATGTGACTTCAGCCTTCACACCACCATTATTTTACTTCGTGGCCACCATTATTGTAGAATTATCGAAATCATATATCAAGTATATGAATCTCATCATCTCTGCCAATTCATTAATGAATATCCAATAAACTTTTTTAGTGACAAGATGTATGAACTCTTTTTATTAATTATTAAATTAGAAGATTAATTAGATAAAAACCTCATTTGTTACACATCGAAATTGGGATTCCATGGGTGAAAAGGTGGTGGTGGTGGGATTCCATGGGTGAGGTGGAGGTGGTGGTGGTGGTGGTAGATTCCATGTGGTAGTGGTGTCATCACATTTGTAAGATTTTAATGTAGTAGTAGATTCCATGTTGTAGTAGTAGTAGAATGGTGGACCCTCTTGAATGCATCCCATTTCAAGCCCCAGTAGTAGTAGTAGTAGTCGTCGTCGTCATGGGTTTGTCACATTTGAAAGATTTTAATGTAGTAGTAGATTCCATGTAGTAATAGTAGTAGTAGTAGTAGAATGGTGGACCCTCTTGAATGCATCCCATTTCAAGCCTTAGCAGTAGCAGTAAATAGTAGTGAAATGGTGGACCCTCTTGAATGCATCCAATGTCAAGCCCAATCAACTGGGTCCAATTCATGGGTTTGTCACGTTTCTAAGATTTTAATTCTTTGACTGAGAAAAATAATAGGTGGTGGTGGTAGTAAGCCTGTATATATAAGTAATGATATACAACTTGAAAAAAAAAAAAAAAAAAAAAAAAAAAAAAAAAAAGGAGCAAAAATTTTCAGAATCTAATTTGGCTAGGCCATATCATAATTAAAAAAGAAAGAGTCATTTCTTACATGATAATGATGATCTATATTTTTGTGTGTGTTTGATGTAGATGTGTTTTTTATTTTTTTCATGGGTTAAAAATTACTATTTCATTTTGATTAATTATCATGGAGATTGATCATCTTGTTGTGTTTTTATTTTGGTCAGAATATTGAATTAAGTTTAATTACACTACATGATTGTTTGGAGGATGAGAAGGGAAACTAAAGTAGAAGGAAAATATTGAAGCAAGGCTTGAGAATGTTTGTTTTATTAAACCTTTTTTTTTTCATGTATTAAAAATCACTATTTCATTTATTGAATTAAGTTTAATTACATTGTATATGATTGTTTGGAGGATGAGATGGGAAAGTATAGTAGAGGGAAAATAATGAAGCAAAGCTTCAGAAGGTTTGTTTTGTTTTTATTTATTTTTGAACATATTTTGATTTTTTTACTTCCTTTTTGTATGATCATGTCATCCATGAGGAAAGAAGGCCTGAGAAGTAGAATTTTTTTTTTGAATGTATATTTTTATTTTTTGAAAGGTAAAACCGAACATGGTCTGATTTTTTTTATTTTTTTTTACTTCTCTTTTATATGATCATATCATTCATAAAGAAAGAAGGCTTGAGAAGTGAACATTTTTTTTGAAGGTAAATTTTTATTTTTTGAAAGGTAAGAGAAGTGGAAATTGTTTGGTAAAGAAATTCCAAAGATATCGAAAAGTACTGCAAATGAATATTTGGAAGATGACGGGGGAAAGTAGAGTAGAGGGGAAATATTGAAACAATTAAGGCTTTGGTTTGTTTTGTTAAATTTTTTTTTTTTTCAAACATATATATATATATATATATATATATATATATATATTTTCTATTTTCTTTTTGTATGAACATGTCATACAACGTCGAGGAAGAAAAACAGTACCATCACTTCTTATGCAGATCACATGCTTCCCCATACACGTCAATGGTCAAACTGTCAAAGGTAAGTATGAAACACACATATATACCCTACGGTATACACACACTTTAGCCTATATATCCGACATCACTTTTACACGCCTACTCACTCGATCAAAGAGAATAATCAATCCCTCCTCCCCACTAGACAAAACAAAAGATCTATAATTGCCCATGAACACTTTTCTAGGAAAAAAATGGCTTCGCGGCGTTAACTCTGCGGCAGGCATGACTCAAATGCAATGTATTCTGTTCGGACCAGAGCTCTGTATATCTATAGTTCTATACCCCAATTTCAAAACCTAGGGTCTGCTTAAATATTCGTGATATTTGCTGATCATGGCCGTACACGTGGCACCCAGTTTAATTATTGAGGACCAGCATTTCATCCCACGGACCCCACCGAAGAAATCTACCCCTACACACATGACGTTGATTAAACAAATTATTTTTGTTTTTGACACAAATATTATTCTCACACTCACGTACGTATTCATACTCCACAAATCATATGGCTCATTTCATTCCTCGCCCAAGTAGGTCCCACCGAGTTGTGGGTTTCCAAGCCCATTATTCACCCCCTTTAATCTTTTAGTTGTCTCTTTTCTCTTTCTTTTTTCAAGGTAAAAGAGAAAATATGGTCAAAGGTATCTCTTAGTTCTCTCTGCCCCTCGAATCTTTTTATAGGTTTTTTCACTCTCTCGTATTTGTATTTGATTTTCTCATCCCCTCTCTCTCTAATCATAAGCGGTTTGGACTTTGGGGGATGAAACACTGATCGGCTATCGATCGAGCTAAATCATTCCTTTCACCGAGCCGAGCCCGAACAGTCCGCTCGGCTCGGCTCATTACATAACACCATTCAGACCAAACCCACGCCAGGCGCAAAATATTTGTTTCTCGTCCACTTCCCGCTGCTGATAGCTTCATACCTTGTTTTTTTCCCTCCACTTTCCTGCTGGGAAGGGAAAACTATTTGAACTTCCTTAAAAAAAAAAAAAAGAAAAAAAAAAAAGGAAAACTATTTGTCTGCAGGCAACATTCTCCAACTGCATAAGCGACGCAGTCGCGATCCATTAAACGCAGGATAAATATGCTTTGCTTAAATATGTATCAATCATATAAGCGTTTGACCGCCTTAGCGTCAAAACGATCAGTTGATGATCACTCACATAACAAACCATCTGTCCATATAGAAGTGTTCATTTTTAGAAATCGACTTACACAATTCATCAGCAAACTATGGAAGCTCCTTTCTCTCTCTAGGAATACTCAGAAAACTCTCGACAAGGCATCCTCACCAGCAAAACCTCCTCTCTCTCTCTGGGTTCAATGTAAGTTCTTCGTATATTGTCATCCTGTTTTTTAAGAAATTATTTGATGTTTTGATTTTGAAATTATGGTGTTTATGGTAGAATCCTCAAAAAACTCTCTCATTTAAGACAATTATTTGTTGCTCTCATATATTGTCATCCTGTTTTTAGGAATTTGTTTGATGTTTTGATTTTGAAATTATGGAATTTTGTGAAAATTGTATTCTTAAAACAACAAAATTTGCCGAGGGTTGGACAGCCGGTTCTTCGCCCGCCGGTGAGTGAAGGAGAAGAAGGGGAATTTTGAGACTGTGACTTGTGGTGAGAGAAAGAGAACAGAGTTCAACATGACTTGTACGGCGGACTAGCAGTGATGGTGGGTTTGGGCCTTCGGAATTTTAGGTTATCAAAAAAAACATAAACATGACTTGTGATGCCATGTCAGCAAAGTGACGTGGAAAAAATAGATTTTTGAAGAGCTGTATTTCTCACCCTGTTCTCTTTCTCTCACTACAAGTCGCAGACCCAAATTTCCCCTTCTTCCCCTTCACTCACCGGCGGGCGAAGAACCGTCTGTCCAAGCCGTTTGGCAAATTTTGTTGTTTTCAGGCCCTTGTGTCACTGTCGTCCAATTTGAACTTCACCCCGTTCTCTGGAATTTCACACATAAAAAACTAGGCAAACCCATCTCGATGTTGTTGATGGTGTCTACGGAAGATGAAAGCTCGGAGGGTTTCAAGCATGTTTTGTTGTTGATTGTTGTTGCCGTACTTAGTTGTCGAAGTAACCGGTCGGTGGAATTGCAGAGGGCACTATCTCTAACCAATCCTTCGTTGTCGCCAGAATTTTCATCGTCATCCTTTGTGGCCCGCCGGTTTGCTGCAGCTGCTGAGTGAGCCTCGCCATTTGTTTTGGCTGTTGGTCGGAGCTTCACCGGCTGAGTCGCGATCGGAATTTGTAACAAATGCCGTCGCTGATGATGGATCTGTATATGGATTCAGTTCTAATAGTACATTGAGATTGTGTTTGCTTTTAATATTTTTGAGATGGTGGGCTTTCAATTTGGATTAATATATATGTGATGGTGGTTTAATATATATGTGATGGTGGTTTACTTTAATATACTTGATGGTGGGTTTGCATTTGCCAGGATGGTGTGAATTAATATATATGAGAAGCTCTGTGAATTAATAGTGTGTTTGATCTTAGAATAGTTTTGGCAGTGGTGAGAGGGCGAAAGGGTCAGAAAAGGAAAAAAGAAAATGGTTGATAGAGGAGGTAAAGGTGGGATGGTGGTGGATTCTGGGACGACCTTCGCGATGTTGCTGGTGGCTTGGACAGACGGTTCTTCGCCCGCCGGTGAGTGAAGGAGGAGAAGGGGAATTTTGGGTCTGCGACTTGTAGTGAGAGAAAGAGAACAGGGTGAGAAATACAGCTGTGCAATAAGAATCAATTTTATTGGCTTGTGATGCCATGTCAGCAAAGCGATGTGGAACCTAGGTTGCTGTCAATAATTTTTCGTTCTTTTGATGATATTCTAATTCTTAATGCAATTATTCTACGTTTTTTATTTTAAAAATTGTATTAGTTAAAGTAATATAATTATTGATGTGTTTTTTTTGGAAATTATAGTTGACGAGAATCTATTTTTTAGGAAAACTTGCCCTAAATTGTAGAATGTTCTTGATGTATTTTTTTTTTTTGGATTTATATATGGTTGATTAGATTCTAATTCTCTCATTACAGTTATAGCTAGTGATATTTGGATTAATTGCAAATAAACACATCTATTTGATGTATCTATTTGATGTTTTCACACTTCTGTCTTATGGTATATCACATATATATTGAAATGATTAATTGCAAATATGTCAGTTTGTAAAATTACAATTATTCTATATGAATAATATGTTTTTTTACAGGGGTGGTCGTCGCAAACGCTGCTCCGCATGTCGTCAGTTGAGAAAAGCCTGTGAGCCTAAGTGTGTATTTGCTCCATTTGATGCAAACTTTGAAAACATCCATAAACTCTATGGGAGTCAGAATGTACGAAATTTACTCATTGGTATAGCTGATGAGGCAGACAAGGTGACCTTCATAAATTCACTAATCTGGGAAGCACTTCATCGCAAGAATCATCCGATTCAAGGCAGTAAGGGTGTGCATGATGATCTTGTATCGAGAATCCACACACTTGAAGCTGAGGTGATGGGTCTACGCCAACTGCAGCAGCAAGATGCATACCACCCCCAGCCTCAGATGACTGACCCTGGCACAAGTAGACAACACGACATTCTCAATTTTGGGACTGGACAACAGTCAAATCTAATTTCCAGCTCAAGCCCATATTATGGCAGAAGTGAACCAGAGTCTATTCCAGAACATGGCCAAAGGATAGGCCACTCGAATCTAATTGGCTCAAGCTCGGATTTGGACTTCTTGCCATCAGATACATGGGATGAGAATGGGGCTCTACAAGAGCCGACAGATTTTGTGATGCCTCCAGAATTCTACAGCCCAAGCCTACCAAGGACATCTGATGACACTGAGCCAGTGACTTTGCCAGCCTTTGAACATGACACCAATGCTGCAAACCCTGTCATTTCAAATTCAACCCCCTTGGGGCTACCTTTCCCAAGCTCACCAAGGACATCTGATGACAGCCAGTGACTTTGCCAGCCTTCGAACATGACACCAATGCTGCAAACCCTATCAGTAGCGGCACCCCCAAAAACCATGGAGTATATAATAAGATGACTGAACTTTGACTTGCTTTTTCATAGCAGTCTCATAAGGAGATCCATATTTTTACTTTTATATAGTTTCATGCAAGTCAAATTAGTTACAGGGAAAAAGTACTATGTGCTTGATGATACATTTGATGTTCTGAACGGAATTTTTTTGCGAAATATTAGCTGATGATTGCATTTTTGTCTTTAGCTATGTTTTATGTAATTGGAAATTAATGTTTGAAGATAGTCTCTTTATTTTTAATTTGCAAATCTCATGTCTGGGACAACTAGCAGTTCTATGATATAATTTGAGTCTTTGCATAAGTACGAAATCACTTCAATAGCTTCATTTTTACCCTATGGCATTGTTCCTATTCATTATGCTAATTGTCAAAGTTTTAGGCTGACTCCTTTAAGTTATAGTGGTATATTTTCAAACATTGATAGCATGGAGTTGCCCAAACTGGATTTGGATGGTAAATTTTCTGTCAGTGGTTAACTAACCATTCTAAGTTTGGTGGAAACCCATCTCTCAGAACTGCCCATTTCCTCGATCCCACTTTTTGCAAGATTTGGTTGTTATTGCTGTTAGAGTTTGAATCTGGAGAATAGGAACTTGTACAGGCCTGCTTGATAGCCAGACTGCTGAGTGGGTGCACTCGAAGAAGCTCCCCTACCAGGTCGAGAACTCTGGGCTGACACAGCTGGCTGAGGCGGAGGGAGATTGCCCCGCCCCGTCCCGTTTAGATAGCAAATTATTTAAGTACTTTTATTTCATTAATATATATATTTCCCATTATATATTAAGTACCCTATATAACAAAGCTTCATTCCTCACCAGAATTTACTTCAATTGGGCAGCTTGGTTGATTGTTACTTCATAAGATAAAAGACTCTGTTTGGTTAGATGGAACTAGCGATCCTTATTTGTACTAGGCCATGGGCTGGGCCGGAGATGCAGGTTTGACCTGCCTATAACTGGACTGAGGGACAATAGATGAATCCTTTGGGCTTGCCAAGTTGGGCCTTCAAATGGGCGACCCTTTAGAATTTGAAAACTATCTGAGAGACCAAACTGACTAGTGGACAAGTACTAATTAAAGGGTTAAGGTTAGTTGTCATTTATACTTGCATGAAAAAGATAATTTTGACATAGGGAGAAGATTGAGCTTGCCTAGCCTACAATGTAAGGTTTCCAAAGGCAATTGTTTAGAATTGCCTTGTTCGTACAATGCATAGGCCAAGACCAGTGCCACCATGCCTGAAAATAATAAAAAGATTTTTCAGGAACACTGTAGGTATGAGGGTCCGAGGACACCGTTGAAAAGTCAAATCCTGGGGTATATCACTCAAGGCAATGCGAGGAAAGCAGAAGAGCTATAGAAGGGAGAGAAAGTTAGTCACCGAAGTTGGGATTGGAGTGATGGTAGGAGAAATAATGCCCGGAGTTGTTAGTCTGTGTAGTCCGTCCTTGACCTTTTCCTGTTTCTTCCTTTTATAGCCTAAGGTTACTGAAGGGGATTTATTAGCACTTATTGGGCCTCCTCCCAAATAGGGTAAGGCTCTCGTAATCATTAAGATCACGCTACCCTAACTCCTATTCTTCAGGACCTACTTAATAAGTGTAACGTTTCCCTTAAACGACCCAGGTAAGATCAGGCCTAACGGTAGCGATACATACTCCGGCGATTTCTCACTTTGATCTTCAATTTAGGTCTTGCTTTGCAAGACTTGACTAGCTTTTTATCCTTTATTCCGAAGTCCCTTCTGTATTCCCTTTGATAACGAAGTCCTACCATTTACACTTCGTTCCCATTATGTTTAGACAATTTTAGGGCCATCAATCGATGATTCGTGATCAGATCGGGTCGAGGTCCCAGGGTCGTTGATTGACCCATCAATCTGTGGTTGGATCGGATCGAAGTCCTAAACTCGTCAATCGTGGTCGGGTTGGATCGAGGTTCTAGGCTCGTCGATCAACGTTTCTTGGTCGGATCGGATCGAGGTTCTAGGCCCATCGATCGACGATTCATGGTCGAGTCGGATCGAGGTTCTAGGCCCGTAGATCGACAATTCATGGTCGGGTCAGATCGAGGTTCTAGGCCCGTCGATCGACGATTTATAGTTGGTCGGATCGGGGTTCTAGGCCCTTCGATCGACAATTCATGGTCGGGTTGGATCGAGGTTCTAGGCCCGTCGATCGACAATTTATGGTTAGTCGGATCGAGGTTCTGGGCCCTTCGACCGATGATTCGTGGTAGGGTCAGATCGAGGTTCTAGGCCCGTCGATCGACGATTCTTGATCGGATCTAGGTTCTGGGTCCTTCGATCGATGATTCCTGGCTAGGTCGTATCGAGGTTCTGAGCCCATCGATCGACAATTCGTGGTTGGGACGCTATGCTCCTTGCCCCAACCTTTGAATTTTATTGTGATTTTGTCTTTCCTACTTTGGAGTAATGGTTTGTGGGGGCTATCTGGATGACGAGTATGTGACGTGGCTTTAGTACATCCTCACTTAGCCCCCCTGCACGTGCTATTTTTGAATTTTGAAAATAGGCTGCGTGCAAAGAGATGTGGGTGTAATAACTTTGGAAACGTGGGTTTGTGTAACCTATGTCAGTTAAGGCATTAATTGAAGTGACAGTTCGGCTAAGGCATGACTCTTAGTGTGTGTGACCTTTGAGTGTCTTCTTCTCCAATGGTTTGAAGAAACCGCCATGGCTATATAAATCAAGCTCTTGGAAGAAAGAAAGGTGAGAAAATACAAGGAAAGCAAAGAGTGAAAAGCAACCGTTTCTGTTTGTCAATCCTCTGTGTTCCAAGTGATAATAAATGACGAAGCATAAGGCTCTAAGCAAGGCCGATGAAACAGTGCCGGAGGTGCCGTCGGAGTCAGAATGGCGTAAAGCGCCATATTTTGGGCCCTCAGATGGGTTCTGAACAACCACCGGGGATGTTGTGATGGAGGGAATAGAGAATGGAGTCGCACAATTGATGGAGGAGGAAGGCGCCATCGAAGAAAGGGCTAGTCCGCCAGCGGATACTGTGTAACGCTTTGCCATTGAGCAAGGTATGTACCCATACTGATTTTTGGATTTTAAAGCACCGATGGGACCATGTAGTGGTTGAGAGGAATGGACAGATCATATATTTACACACAAGCCGTATGTGAATTGGCTGCGCCAGGCGAGGGTTACTCGAGCCATGCGTTTGTTTCGCACACTGAGAATTCCTAGAGATACTGCTGGGCTGGATTTACTGTTGTCGTGATGGTGTAGTGCGACCCATACATTTGTCACAAAGTGGGGCGAGTTTACGCCAACCTTAGAGGATGTTGTGCATCTATTGGGTCTACATGTGATTGGTGGAGAATTTGCAGTGCCTCTCAAGTTAGATGCGGCGAAACAAGCCATCCTGGAGGTTTTGGAGGAGGGTTTAGAAAGAACAAAAAATTATGGATCCTTTTTTGAACCAAAGGGCGGCCGGCGCGAGGAAAGAAGTGAAAGGGCTAGAAAAGTACAACTGGTGCTTGGATACGGTATTTTTTCAAAGATTTGCAACCTTCATTAAAGGAGACAAATCGCAGCGCCCAACAATCGACGGGGACAAAATTGGACATCCTGCAGAACTAGCGGCATATGTACTGTGCTGGTTATCAAAGTATATTTTTCCTGGGACGCCGGACGATGCCCCACTAAGTAGGTGGTGCCTGATTGATGTCAAAATAGCAAGTGGTGTTGCGCTCCCCTTAGGACCTCTATTTTTGGGGACATTATACCATCGGTTGGACATGATAGCAGAAGATTGTATGTAATCGGTCGGGCGATATCCTATGGTGTCGTATTTAGCCACTGGGTTTCAACAGATGTTCTTGTATGAGCGGTTTCCCTCCTATGGTCCTTTGCCCTTGGAATTGGGAGGCCCTGAAGGTGCACGAGGAAAACGCTAGATTGGTCGCACATGGCAAGTGCCGTTAAGTAATGTGATCGACTCAGAACCCGAATTCATTTTCAGGCCATACAAGGACAAAGTGACTGGAGTAATCGATGTACCCTTGTACTGGGAGGAGTCAAGAACGCTGGATTGGTCGCACATGGCAAGTGCCGTTAAGTAATGTGATCGACTCAGAACCCGAATTCATTTTCAGGCCGTACAAGGACAAAGTGACTAGAGTAATCGATGTACCCTTGTACTGGGAGGAGTCAAGGGTTTTTTACCCAAGGCAGGAACCCTGCAATCGTGATGAACAGTCATTTGCACTGTTGGTGACACCATGCTATTTACCTGGGCGATTTGAGCTAGGTGACGTGCTAAAGGTATACAATCCCAAGCGTGTGTCGAGGCAATTTGAGTTTGACCAAGGGGTGCCAGGGGTGTGTGATCTTGTGGAAAAGTATGATAAGTTGGAAGAAGCATTGTACCGATTCTTGGTTCAGTATGACTTGTCAGTCGAGGGTATGGAGTATGCGATAATTCCTTCTCGATCTCGCATGGGTGATATTACAGAGGGCAATCGATTATTCTGGGAGCATTGTATGGATAAATTCAAGATATTCTGCTTGCAAATGCCCCATCAATGTGAACCTGTACCGATTTACAAGGATGATGTGTCCTTGCATTTACCGCGCAAGGGAGTGCGAGGGAATCGCTCGATTATGGCCCCCTTGGCGTCACAGATGGGTGAGGTGACATATGCTGCAGTGCCGGAGGCTGCAGTAGCTGGGTTTCCTGTTGATCCCAGGACTACTAGAGGTCAGACTACCGCGGGGCCAAGTGTGGTGCCAACAGAGATTCCAGTTAAGTCGCAAGGTGACAAAAAACAGGCCAAGGATATGTCAAGCGATGAAAACGACGAACCGCTCATAAATTTGGTTCGGCGTAAACGAAAGGCAGCTATAATCAGTCTATCGGAAAACGCGAGTTTAGAGGAAGTTATG